CTGGCATCTGTGTCTCTTGCTTTAACTAACTTTTTTCACTAACGCACTGTAAGTATTGTCTTTGGAATTCTGAAATACATTTGAGGTTTTTCTAGTGGGATTTCAGGTGCTTTGATTTTGATTTGATCCTTTGAGGTGCACACATAGACATGGTACTGATGCAGCAAGCACTTGAAAAGCAGAGCAGACTCTGCTAAAACCTTGCCGTTTTTAAGCAAGAGGGTGGGAGAGCCTTAGTACAAATGTAACTTCTCAATGATTTTCTGCCCCTTCTTTCAAGAAACTGAGGATTTGAAACCTGTTTGCTAGGTGGTGAATACCTAATCTATATAAAATGTTACCATACAAATTACCATACATACCATACTGTTTCTGCTTGAATAAAAGTTTGGCAATTGCAATAAATGAAGAACTTGGGGGGGAGGGTGTTCTCTTTTAGCATCAACATCTAAAAATTGCTCATTACTACTAACAAGAGAGAGACTGTAAAAGAAAAAGGTTGGCTTTTTTTCCTATAGCAAATTTGATTTGTTAACAATACAGCTTTATAAACTCAATAAGGGAATGCAGAAAAAATGACGTGAAACAAAGTGCCTGTTCTTGGAAGTTCTGGTTACATTCCTTGATCAATGTGTAACTATACTGGGAAGGTACACAGTGCTGTTTGGTAGGACAGAAAAGGTCCTAAAATTGCGTAAGTGTTCCTTGTAATGCATATAGTATGTTTATCAACATAGGGGTGATAGTATTGGAATTTCTTCACTATAAATACTGCCTGTTTCTATCTAGATTTTTCTCTTCCTTTCAGTTCCTGGGTAGGTGGAACATTTTGATGCAAGAGTGATTGTAAGTGTAAAAGTGATTCCTTTATAGAATTAATCACCCTCAAAGGATTCTTGAGATCATCATTTAATGATTATGGAGCATTTGCATGTATAATACGATGCTTATACGTAAAGGCAGTAGTTTGTCACAGGTGTAATAGGGAGAAGACGACATGAAGAAAGTGTCTATAGTTCTGATCACTTCACTTAAGGTATGTGTGAAGCCAGGTCCAGCTTCTGAAATAGTTGAACATTAGTTCAGATCTCACAGTTAGGGAAGTGGAAGCACAGAGGTAAGGACCTGGATTTCCTGCTGACGGATAACATCATTACACTGCATCACTCCTAAAAGTTGGCTTCCAAGGAAATCCCAGAGAGAACATTTGCTTTCTTGGTTGCAGCCCTCTTCCAGATGTCACACTCTGTTCTTTCTTCCCCTCCCAATCTGTGTGCATTGTGCATTTTTAATTCTCCTTTCCTCTCGGAGATCAAGATACGTGTTTGACTTAACTGGAATTTCTTTTTACACCCTTGCAACAAGACTGGATTAACAGTTGAATTACCCATGCACAACTTGTGCAGAAGTACTAGCCTTGGGAGCAGCAATAGGAGGAAACACTTCTGTGTTTTCTGGGGCGCCATTAATGGAATACGCATTGTGTAGGGATAATTGCTAGGGAACATTAATCACAGATTATTTATTTAACAAAGTACATTATTGATGTTACACGTGGGTGACTTTTTGCAAATATATAGCAACTAATAGGTGCAAATTAGTATTAGCTTATTTAAATTGATGCAGAAACTACTGCTTGCTTGGTCTGTAGGCCATTGGCAAGAGAGACAACTTATTGAAGTATTCGGGACGGGCTTAATGGCTTATTTTTATGGAACACGTGAAATGGAAATGTATTCCCCTGGCACAATTTGCGTACTCAGTAAATGCCTGGTACCAGCACGGGCACTTACTTGTTTGTAGTTTGTATTCAGTTGGTAAAACTAGTTACAGACAGTCTGCTTCACGTGTGTAGGTAAAATGCATATGAATTTGAACTGAATGTTTGTAGAAGCTGGTAATTGTAGGAACACTGGGATGCTGTAGCACTGAAAGGAAGTGTGACTGCCACTGCGTCACATAAGCTCAAGAGGCTTTCTCCTCTGTTTAGAGTTCTGTGTTTAAAGTTTTTTCCTCTGTTTTCTCAAGAGAGCTTAGCTGAAAAATCAGTTAACCCTTTTTTTCCCCCGTTATTTTGGGTGGTGGTCTAATGATTTTAAACCCTTAGTTAATTAATAACAGCCGAGATTGTGGCTGAATCAGAAAGTTTGTTTGAAATCTTAAAAGTTTTACTATACCTGTTGAATAAGTTTAGGATACATTATATAGGAGATAGTAGGAATAAAAACGCTGCTGTTTTGATTTTTGTTTACATATTTAGCTGTTTTATATATATCGCTTTGGGGGTTGTATATATGTATAAAAACATCTTTTGAAATGCCTCTTTGCTACATATTGCTTTACTAATAGTACATTCTTTGTTTGAAATTGTTCTTTTCCTTTTTGTCTTTTGTTGTTGTTTTTGTTGTCTTGGCTTGGGTTTTGAGTTTTCATTAGCAGTACTGTGTGGTTATCATTAAAAATTACAGGTTGAAGTCTTTCCCTGAAGTGTCTGAGGTACAAATACGTAAGAGCTGCAATCAAACCATCCAACACATCTGTTTCAGGTGAGAAATAGAGAAGTGTATGAAATTAAAAGCTTCTTTTAAGAAACAAAAGAAATCATTCAGTTTATAACTTTTAAGATGGCAAAGAAAAGAACAGCAAAGGAAATGTAAACTACACTTCATCAGAACAGAAGAGAGGGTAGCAGAGCTATCAACTAGTAGATATAAAGCCAGAGGTGCTATTGATATGTGTGATAGGGAAGAATGGGTATGCATTTTTACCCGTGAACACATATTCGTTTGAGTGAGGTGCTGACTGATACTGCTGTGCAACTGCGTAAATTATATGACCATGTCATTGATTTTAGGTTGTCTTATAAGATGGTATAAGCCTGTTTGTAGGGCTGGATGCTGAGCTGGATGCTGGATGCTGAGAGTTTCTGCTTCTAGGAGATTCTTAGTCTGTAATTAATTGATTTATCATTGAGAGTTCAGCATTGACTCCTCTGTGGCAACAGAATCTACCTAGCAAAATGTTGGGACTATAGGAGAACACTGGCATATTCTAGCAATGATTTCTTTTTCAGTTAATCACAGATACTAATGTTTTGCTACCTGTTTCAAGGCAAAAAGACCTTTCCCTGTACAATAAAGATACATTTACAGAATTGCTGATATTGAACCACAGAACACTTTGAGTTTGATTTTTCAGAATAAAGAACCTGTAAAGTTTGCATACAGTTTTTACATATGAGTTTGTTATTGTCTATACAAGGGATAGTGAATCAGAGTAAAGACAGAGAGTGCTGTGAAACGTGCTTCCTACAGCTGCTACAATTGTAGACCATAAAATTGTTGCTAACTTTGAATGGCTCTACAGCCAGTCAGTCTTTTCTCCCCTTAGTATGATGTGAGATCTGAGAAATGAGTAAAGTAAAATGAAAACAGTATAACAGAATCTTAATATCTATATTCAGTACTAGATGGTCAAGGTACAGGTGGCGTGTATGCTTCAAAGAATTTTCTCTCTAAAGAGTTTGCAAACTGCTGATATGTCACAAATGAAAATATTCAAATTTGTTGCTAGGTGTACTGAATGCTGTTAAATGGTGCAGTCCTAGTCTTCAGAGTTATAAATCCTCTGAAGGATTATTTTATCCTCTGAACTGATAGAGTTGTCAGCTATCAAACATCAACTTGATATTGATTGAACCATTATTGTTAATTTTTTCTAAGTAAGAAAAGGAGGGAAAAAGCCATAAGGGAATATAAGGACTTGCAACAGTGAGAGGTAGGCTCTGAACTACAGTGCTTTGGTACACTGCAGAGGGAGAACAGGATTTTGCTAAACTGAGCACAGAATCCGTACCAGATTCGGTCTGTTAACCCAAGATTGGCTTCTGAAGTTTGGAATGCAAGCATGTTCTGCAGGAAGACTGTTACACTTGATGGAGATGGCTAGAGGCCAGAGGAAGGGAAGAGAATGGTATATGGATGATGTATGGATGTGGGTGTGAGCATTGTAGAGATTTCAAATCCTAGGGAAGGAAGAGAACCCCATCTAAATATCGGCTTCACAGATATGTATGTGGGACGCAACTGTTTTTATCATGCCGGATATATTTTGTTGTTAAGTAGTTGTAAGAAGAGCTATGCAAATAAGTAGCTCCAAGCACAATGACAAACTGATTTCTGCTGCATTTTTATTGAGATGACTGACGTATTAACTAGATTGTATGAGTTGTTTGTACATGCACCTGGCAAGGCTCCTAACAGCATTGCTCCCCACCCATTCACCCTATTCATACCTTTTTAATGTCCCTGGTGTTTTCTTCTAACAGCTATAGTTTCTCCTCCCTGCTGTTCCCTGTCGTTGATCCACCATTACTTGCTCTGCCATCCAACAAAGAATGGAAAATTGCTATACAACAAATACAGGCAATTGCTGATAATCTGGCTACAAGTATGTGCCGGCTGGCTGGCTGGCCACCAACTGCTGCCTGCACACCTCTAAGGAAGTCAGGCCTGTAGGTTTGGGTCCATTGTAAGAAGTTATTTAAAAAAAATATACAAAAATCTGCTTTTGTAGAAGGTCTACAGGTTCCGAAGTTACTAATAAGGGGTTGACAGACAGAACAAAACCTTGTTTTCTGACAAAAGCAGGTTAAAAATAAAAAAAGTAAAAAATCTTGACAGTTTTTAATAATAGTGACAATATGAATTTCTAGTAATACCTTCTAGCCATCTCTGGATGTGGGGAAACTTAATTTGTGATGCTCTCCTAATAAATATCAAAGAACACATGTGTTTCTGAGCTAGGACTTCCAGTATGCTGGGATGATACAGAGAGCTGATCTGCTGATACTTTACTAGTATTCCAGGAATACACTGTTCAGAAAACAGCGCTCCTTTTAGTTTGAGGGAGAATGGGCAGTCTGCTCTTTGCCAAGTTTGTCTTTTATTTTAATAATTTTTTTTTTCTTTAGGGTGGAGTTTTAATGTTTTGATGTCAGTATGAAGAGCAGGATACCTCTCATTCTTCTAGCTTGTGGCTCCTTTAACCCCATCACAAACATGCATATGCGTTTATTTGAGCTGGCTAGAGATCACCTGCACCAAACAGGTCAGTAAGGTGTTGTTAGGATCACACATGCATGGTGGTTTACGGTGAAAAGGAAGAAAGATTTTTAACACTCACTATAGATAAGCTGTCTTTTTACAGCTGGCTTAATTTTAATATTCTTTATTGATCATTCAGTGTGAGCTTTCATGGCAAATTCAATATAGAGAATCTAGCATTACCTCTTCTTTGGCTCAGTAAATAAACAAGTGTCATAATGAGTGTTCATGCAAATAAAGTGAAAGTTTTACCAGCAGTTTTAGGATCGTATTCGTGGAACATGAGCCTTGTGAAAGGGTATGCTTAACAATTTTGAAACTGAGAAGAAACATTTATGTTCAAATTTCATGCTTTTGTGATACAGTGTGTTTTAATATGAAGAATTGTCACAGCAGTTTGGACAGCTGGGTGAAACTGGAGAAAAGATGAAACGTTAATTATTCATTATCCATCTTCACTAAAAGGTACAAGTTATCTCCCCTAGCAAAATAATTTCCTCATAAAGGAGATCAGAAAAGCTAGATGTCAGCAGGCTAGAAAGTTTTGGCAACAAAGGAGAAAGGTGGGTAACATCAGGAACTTAAGCAAGAAGCAGAAAAGCTACTGAGAAGCACTTTAAGCTACTACTCTAAGTAACTACTTAGTTGCTGAGACTTTTATTTTTTTTCCATATGGCAGCTAAAATATACACATATGTTTATAGAAGAGTTTGGAAGGGAATCATAGTTTATTGGAACCTGACAGAGAAGCTCCTAGGGAGGTGGTTCGGTAGGAACCTGAACAGCAAATAATAGCAAAAGGAATTTGGCTGTCAAATTGTGGGGAGTGAATTTGGTAACCCACTGATACTGTTGTGCAGTAAAAGCAGCAATTACATGCTCACCATATACTATGAGAATACTTTGGCTTTCATGAGGAAGAATTACACAGCTGGCTCTGAGGGCTGCCTCTACAAGAGTCTGTTGTCCTGTAACAGTCAAATGATTTTATTGCTCCCGCAGAACTAGAAATAAAGGGTTAAAAAGGGATTTTAATTGGCTTTTCGCACTGTAATTTTATAACTGCTGCTGCTGCACAGGTGTGCAAGGAGTAGAAAGGTAATGTGAAACCAACTGGTAATTCTGTTTAAGTTGTATGTTCTAGTTCCCCTACTCAGAGCAGTTTACTTAAAGAAGTCTGGTGAAAATCATATTAAACATCAAATTTTGAACGGCTGAAATTAAAATTGTGCATTACATTGCACCTCTCTAACATGAGTGGTTAGTTCTGGATAGGATGTGACTTGCCTTTTGACTTGTTAGTTTAATTTGTGGAGTCATTTTAATATATAAGTATGCATTAAAGAAGGGGACTTTATTTGTGTCTGGGTTGCCTACAGTGTTGTCATTGCACTTTCTGAATGCTTAACCCAGGATGTCTGCAAAGCAAGGATCCTCAGTTAGCTTGTGGAAGCTTTACCCATCCCAAGTAGAGGTAGCTTTATTTGAAGTAACTGTAATGTAGATATAGGTGTTTATATGTATGGATACGGTATATGGTCTTTCTTGCTACGGTGAAGACAGTTTCTCAGACCGAAGGGGTGGGAAACACGCTATCAGAATGATCGATTCTGAGTGCCTGTTTTATGGCAGAACCATTCCTACACAGGAAATTAATTGGTCATTCCCTCATCTTTTTAGCCCTGTTTCCACATCTGCTGTTACCCAGGGAAGGAGAGGAGAAAATGGAGCTCATTTGATGAAAAGAAGCACTAGTTGCAGGCAGGGAGCTGGTAGTGGGGCTGGAGGACAATGGTTATACTTGACTAAAGCTTGATTGAAGTGAGGTAGTGGTCTGCTATATTCATATTGATACCCTCCTCAGTGAAAACAGGGCACTTCCAAGCTATGTACACTGAATGCCTGAAAAGGTAACTAGCATGAGTGAAGAATTAACTAGCATGAGGGGCAATGTTTCCTAGGCTGTGAGAATGACTGACTTCTGGTGCTACTCCGGTATTTCTGCTCAATCGCAAATTGGGCAGAAACGATGACTTGTACAGTAGCTTGGCTGGAGTTGACTTCACAGTCAGGTTTTACTGTTACGAATGACATGACTATCCCTGATGTGCATCCCGACTGACATCTCTGGTAATTCTGTCTGCCAGCTTTTTGCACGTCACTTCAGTTTCAAATGCTGTCTAATCTTATTTTTCATACGTCCCTATTTTAAGTAGGGAATTTTATTGAGTTTCTGATACTTTAAGCAGTATCTGCAGTTCCGTTGCCACATGTCAAGTAATTCATCATTTTTCTGTTAATATCAGTCGACAAATCTTGTCATGCTGCCTTTTAAATACAACAAATGTAGCTATGTGTGACTGAATTACTCTAATGATTCTCTTTATCTGGATTTTGTCTCTGCTTATGTGAATTTGACTCTTTACACATCCTCACACATAGATAGAGTTTTCTCAGATTCAATCCCTTGTTTTAAAATTGCTTCTTGAAACTTGCACTGACTGTGGCAAATGCCTTTCCGGTCTGTTAATACGTAATGCCAGATGCTTTTATTTCTCTTTGACTATATTTTTATTTGACCATGAAGTCCAAGAAATAGTACTAGAATCAATCTATGTAAGATGTTTAAAACCTTGTTTCCCAAGTATTGCCAGTGGAGGATACTTACATCACCAAGTTTCCAGATAAGACCAAAAGGGATAGAGGGCAAAGGAGGGCGGTATGAAAGACAAGACGTTTCTATCTGTGACAAGACAGATGCAAGAGGGAGGTGAAGGACAATGAGTTACTATCTCATGAAAACTTGGGAAAAATGTGACACAATCAATGGTTTGTGTCAGATGCAGCACTGGGCAGCGGAGTTAAGAAGTCCAAGTCACTAACCAGCTGTGAGAATTTGGAAGTTTATGTTGTTCAAGGGCTGCATTTGGTTAAAATGGACTAATATTTTCAAGAAAAGTATAAGAACAGATTGTAACAGCAGCAAGTCAGCATAAATGCAGACTTCAATTTGTTTTCCTGCAGCAGTTTGATAACTGGAATTTGAAAACCACACCAAAAAGAACAGTTAGATGCTACTGTTTTGATAGTGTGTATAGCAATACAGATACATGATTGGAATAGGATTAGATTAGCAGTAGTTACTCACTATATATACAATAAATATTGACAGACATTAGTTAAAATTAACTGAACTTAAAAAATGAAAAGGAAACATATCTTTACTTATTTTTTATTACAAGATCTACAGCAGTGCTTGCTTTATAAATAGAGCAGTACTTGGTTAACTGTATTAGGCTTTACCCTTGAAGGAGGCAGGAAGAGGGATGCATGTGTGGCTTAGCATTCAGAAAGAATTAAAGCTGTAGAGTGCACTTTGAAGAGGTGCAAATCAAAGCAGCAAAAGCATAAATCTTAAGACATTTCAAGACATACCACATCCCTAAAGAAGACGCTTCTGTTACATAAAACTTAGTTTTCTGAATACTGTTGTAAGTGCATACAGTTTTAGGTCCTAACTTTCTCTGAATTTAAGGAATGCTCTTCTAAGTGGAAGAAGTATAGGCATCTTTCTGTTGCACAAGTTTTGTTGTCTTATTCTCAAACCCAGCAGAAGGGTGGGCATCCCTTGCTTGCAGTGGTATTTGGGTTATGCCCTATATTTGACTTCAGAATCCTAGTCTTCTGTTTTGTAGCACCTCTGAAGAGAATCATTGCTTCCCAGTCTTGTTAAATGGCAAAAGTCAGCTTGGATGAGAGCATTTCAGAATAAGGTGTCCTGTGAGTAAAGCTACAATACTTTATTATTCATTGTTACTCTCAAGATGGTGGTTTTATCCTTCCTTTCTGGAGGAAGTATTTATTTTCATAGCTGTCAAGATACTGCCTTTCCTTATTTTTGTCCAAATCCAGTCAACTCTTATAGAAGTGAAGCTGTATTTTGTGGTCTTGATTTGAAATATTTATTATAGATGTAATTTGTGGAGATCATTCAGCATTTATCTGAGGACTGATCATTGTGCATGCTCAGTTACTCAGCTGTTGGAGGAGTTCCTGAAGTTGCAATGTATTTTGAGTGGCTGTCTGACTACAGAGGTAAACCTGCATCTTCAGGCCCTGTAGTTCACTCAGCCAGATGGATATGATTTATGTTTGTCTAGGTACTCATATGGCATCTTTCACTACAATTTTTGCACACCTCATGTATTTCAGTGAATGCATCTTTCAAGCACTCTGAAGTGGTGAAGGTAAAGTCATCCATTCTATGGAGAGCTATCCTAAAAGATTGTCCATTACTGCTCTGATGTATTTGTTGTTTATGTTGACTTTCAATGCAATGATTGCTGAATTGTTTACCACTTTGATTTTCCTTCTGTTGAATTCCCTTCACAGAAGGTGACTGAACATGAAGTAAAAAGAGTCTTGCCTATTTTCTTTTCCTTTTTCATGCTTGGCAATCTCTACATACATATAATGGGAAGGTAAGCATAGGATGGTATCCTTTTGGTATTTAATCTGAACAAAGATGTTAGATATCCCTCCTTCCACCCCAGTTAACTATAACCTATAAATAAAATTAACATTTTGGTTTAAATGGAACAACGAAAAATCCTTGTATTTGTTTTCCTAACATTAGTAGGCTGAGAGTTTTGGGAGGATAACTGTTGATTTCTTGTGAGTTCAAGGGAAGCCATTACTATTACTTCAATACAGAATTTTATCATGTGATTTTAATGTATGTGTAGTCACACACGGAAGGCTGATAAAAGAAATTAAATAATCCAGTTAACTAACCATATTTGTAAAAGCGAGTGTGTCAGTGGTTGTTTCAGTAAAGAAATGAAAACTTACATTAACGTAAACTCTTGTTGCATCTTAGCTGGTTAGAACATGAGATTGTATTGTAACTGTTTTCCAACATTGTTCACTTCTGGTAGCAGGTTTTACATCACTTTACATTTTGAAATAGCTGCTACTTTCCTCGCAAAGGAGGACTGACTCCTTGGCAAAGTGATATTTGTTATTTATGTATTTGATATTGTGTAGGTACTATGCAGTAAAATTTAAACTGTTCCTTAGACTCATTTTGTTAAATCTTAGATGTGTAGGTAACTTCATGCCCTTATGCCATGGTTTAACCCCAGACAGCAACTAAGCCCCACACAGCCACTTGCTCATGCCCCCCCCACAGTGTAAGGGAGAGAATCAGAAGGGTAAAAGTGAGAAAACCCATGGGTTGAGATCACAACAATTTAGTAGGGAAA